TTATTATTCCCTAGGTTTTTGGTAGAAGCCATTTTAACTAGGGAGAGATAATAGCTCATTGTGATTTTGAACACTTTTTCATTTATCTGTTGGCCATTTGTATGTCTTCTTTTGAGCAGTGTCTATTCAGGTCTTTTCCTCATTTTTAATCAGATTTTTTTATACTATTGAGTTCTTTATATTCCTTGCCAATGGACAGTATGCAAATACTGTCTCCCATTCTGTAGTTTTTCACTTTTATTATTTCCATTGCTGTTTAGAAGCTTTTTAGTTTGATGCAATCCCATTTATCTAGTTTTACTATCATTGCCTATGCTTTTGAGGTCTTACTAAAAAAATCTTTGCCCAGACTGAATGTCCTAGTGCATTTCTCTAATGTTTTGTCTGAGTAGTTTCATAGTTCAGGTCTTATGTTTAGGTTTTAATCCACTCTGATGTTTGTATATGGTGAGAGATTAGTGTCTGGTTTCATTCTTCTGCGTATGGATATCCAATTTTTCCAGCACCATTTATTGAAGAGACTGTTCTTTCCCTAATGTATGTTCTTGCTGCCTCTGTCAAAAATAAGATGACTGTAGATGAGTGGATTTATTTCTGGATTCTCTATTATGTTTCATTGGTCTCTGTGTCTGCTTTTGTGCCAGCCCTATGCTGTTTTGGTTACCACAGCTTTGTAGTATAATTTGAACTCAAGTAGGGTGATGCCTCCAGCTTTATTTTTTGGCTTTGGTTATTTGGGTTTGGGTGTGTGTGTGTGTGTGTGTGTGTGTGTGTGTGTGTGGTTCCATATACATTTTGAGATTCTTTTTTCTATTTCTGTGAAGAATGACACTGGTATTTTGATAGGGATTACATTGACTCTACAGATCACTTTGGGTAGTACTAATATTTTAACCCATTTATGCTGGAGGCTGCATTTTTGTGTGTGTATGAAAAATCAGACTTTGGCGATGACCTTGAAGAGTAGGATATGAATAACTCCCACAAGCTTAGCATTCCAATAATGGAACACTAGGCATAAAGGGGTTAACAATATTAATTCTTCCAATTTATAAGCATGGGGATCTTTCTATTTGTTTGTGTCCTCTTCAGTTTATTTTAATGAGAGTTTTGTAATTTTACTTGTAGAGATCTTTAACTTCTTTGGTTACATTTATTCCTAGGTATTATATAATTTTTGTAGCTATTGTAAATAGGATTGCTTTCTTGATTTTGCATTTAGATTCTTCACTGCTGGAATATATAAATGCTACTGAAAGCCCCCTAGATATGTAACCCACTTACTAACTTATAAGTTTCACCAATACCAACTCATCCTATATAAAATGATAGGAGAGGCTGGATGTGGTGGCTCACACCGATAATGCCAGCACTTTGGGAGGCTAAGGTGGGCAGATCACCTGAGGCCAGGAGTTTGAGACCATCCTGGCCAACATGGTGAAACCCTGTCTCTACTAAAAAACAACAACAACAACAAAAAAAACAAAAAAGAATTAGCCAGGTGAGGTGGTGCATGCCTGTGATCCTAGCTACTTGGGAGGCTGAGGCATGGGAATTGCTTGAACCCAGGAGCCGTAGGTTGCAGTGAGCCGAGATTGTGCCACTGCACTCGAGCCCATTTATGACAGAGTGAGACTCTGCCTCAAAAAATTAATTAATTAATTAATTAAAATGATAGTAGAAAATAAGAGGAAAAAGGGAAATGCATATATACATAAAAGCAAGAAAATATGCATAGCCTAGCCATTGCTTCTGGTTACAGGCCACAGCTGATAGTTACTACTTCCTTATCCTACTAGGAAATCCTTACTTTCCTTAGCTAGCAACTCAGTTGGTTAGAATTAATTAATTATTTAATGAAGTAATCCACAATCTCTACTCCTGAAGGAGTCTGCTTTTGGACCTAGTAATGTAAACAGGAACGCAAAATGATAAGAAAATATAAATAAATCTAGACCTAGTGATGGCACAGGTAAGACAGTAAGACATCTTCTGATAAGATTAATAATACATGCATTAATATTCCTATAGGTAGAATTAGTTGGTTGAGGACCAAGTAATCATAGCTCTCCTGGTTTGGAAGCAGTTATAAGAATTATATAAGAATCAAAATTAATAATTAATTAATTAATTAATTAATGTATTTACCTGCTAGGATTGCAAGCAAGGAATCAAAATTTAGATCTTTTTAGATCTGAAATTTAGATTTTGTTTAGCTATTGTAAATGAAATTGACTTACTTGGTTCTCTGATTATTATTGGTATATATAGATGCCAATGATTTTTATATGTTGATTTCAAATCCTGTAACTTTACTGAATTTACCAGTTTTAGGAGTTTTTTGTTAGAGTATTTAGGGGTTTCTATATATAAGATCATGTCATCTGTGAACAGGATAATTCTGTGAACAAGGCGAATTTGACTTCTACCTTTCCAATTTGGATGTCTTTCTTTCTTTCTCTTCCCTAATTGCTCTAGCCAGGACTTCCCATATTACACTGAGTAACAGTGATGAAAGTGGGCATTCTTGTCTTGTTCTAGTCTTTAGAGGAAAGGCCTTCAATTTTTCCCCATTCACTATGATGTTAGCCATAGGTCTGTCATAGGTTGCCTTTATTATTTTGAGATATGTGTATTAGTCTGTTCTCAAACTAGTATAAAGAACTTCCCTGAGACTGGGTAACTTATAAAGGAAAGAGCTTTAATTGACTGACAGTTCCTGCATGGCTGGAGAGGCCTCAGAAAACTTACAATTATCGTAGAAGGGGAAGCAGGCACCTTCTCAAGGCAGCAGGAGAGAGTGTAAACATCTGAAGGAGCAACTGTCAACCACGTATAAAACCATCAGATCTTGTCAGAACTCACTCACAATCATAAGAACAGGGTGGGGAAAACCACCCCCATGATCCAGTCACCTCCCTCCCTCAACACGTGGGGATTACAAGTCCCTTCCTCAACATGTGGGGATTACAATTCAAGATGAGATTTGGGTGTGACACAGAGCCAAACCATATCAATGTGTCCCTTTTTACCCATTTTGATAAGGGTTTTTATCGTAAAGGAATAAATTTTATCAAATACTTTCCTGTCATCTATTGAAATAATCATGTTTTTCCTTTATTCTGTTAATGTAGTATATCGAGTTTACTTATTTGCTTACATTGAACCATATTTGCATCCCTATGATGAATCCCACTTGATCATGACGAATGATCTTTTTACTGTGGTGTTGCATTTTGTTTGCTAGTATTTTCTTGAGGATTTTTACCTCTATTTTCGTTAGTGATATTAGCCTGAAGTTGTTGGGTTTTTTGTTTTGTTTTGTTTTCGTTATGCCCCTGTCTGCATTTGGTATCAGGGTAGAAGAAGCAATAATTTTTAAAGTAGATTTTTAGGTATATGCATAAGAAGAACCACTTCTACTCTCTCAATCCACAAAACACAAGACCATATACTGTTGCTAGTTGGGAGCATTTACCACATCTCTAGGGCGTCGAAAAAAGGTTACCTCTCAGATGGTGCCATAACTAGGTCCACTACTGTTTGGACTTAGTCCATAATGCTACTTATCAGCTGACTTTCAGCAACCTGCAGTGTCTGATTCTTGGCTACATTAGCCCTGTGGTTGTAAAGGATGGGAGAGTCTTCTAGGGTAGTCACAGAAGGTCCTAGGAACTAAACTGTGCACCAAATTCTTTTTTTTTTTTTTTGAGAAGGGGTCTCAACTCTGTCACCCAGGCTGGAGTGCAGTGCGACCTTGGCTCACTGCAACCTCTACCCCCTGGGTTCGAGCAATTCTCCTGCCTCAGCATCCCAAGTAGTTGGGACTATAGGGGTGCACTGCCACACCCAGCTAACTTTTGTACTTTTTGGTAGGGATAGGGTTTCACAGTGTTTGCCAGGCTGATCTCAAACTCCTGTCCTCAAGTAATCTGCCCGTCTTAGCCTCCCAAAGTGCTGGGATTATAGGCATGACCACTGTGCCCAGCCCCCACCAAAATTCTTATATTGAAGCACTAATATCCAGTGTGATGGTATTTGGGGATAGGGCCTTTGGACAGGAATCAGGTTTAGATGAGGTCATGAGGGTGGGGTCTTCATGATAGGATTGGAGCTCTCACATGAAGATACAGCAGAGAGCTTGTTTCCTCTTTCTCTCTTCCCTCCATGTGAGGTCACAGTGAGAAAGTGGCCATCTGCAAGCCAGGAACAAGGCCTCAATGGGGAAATAAATTAGCTGTGTCTTAATCTCAGAGTTCCCAGCCACCAGAACTGTGAGAAATACATTGCTGTTGTGTAAGCCGCCTTGTCTATGATATTTTGCTGTGGCAGCCCAAGCTGACTGATACACCTTCATAAGTCCCTACTCTGACTTGTGAACCACCAGTATTTTAGAGCTCCATGGGCTATCAGCTTAGATCCACTGTCTAGTAATCTACCTCAGAATTTAGTTCTTTTTTCCCCTCTGCACACTCTCCCTTCTAAGTGCCTGCCATTCTCTCTGAAGGGGTAAAAGGAAAATTTACTGTATCCACTTGTGGTATGATTGTATACATCCTCCCCTTCATCCAGGGGCTCTGGTTCTATAACTGGCCTATTACCCAGGTAAGTGAGCTGGATAAGAGGCCATGATTATCCACTGTGATGGCATGTAAAGTCTATGTTCACCAGACCAGAGTTCAACTACAATGATCAAGTAAAACTTTAGTAGGCTCCCCATTTATATCAGTTCTAGAGATCTCATGCTTAGTTAGCCACTACAGCAATCCCTAGTAGGTCAAACCTTTTCGATTACTATTGTGACCTTGTGGACCAATACAGTAACCAAGCCCACATTGACTCCAGGTACTCAGTGGTATTAAAGACCCCATTTTAATGACATCATCTCCCAGTCAACATTTCCGACTCCTCACACCTCTGAACTTTTTCTTGATTATACTGGGAAAGTTCTGGCATTTCAACATAATTTAATGTAGAGTCCTTTGTTGAACCTTGTTTTC